AAGGAAATTACTTTTATCCTATGGCAGTGTGGAAATTTAAATTAAAGAAATGACTTGTAAATTCCCTGAAATCCCCAAGTGGGATATAATTTAGCTGTTACTACAGACCAAAGGGACAGCATTCACTTTATACTCTAGATTTTTAGAGTAAAACCTCAGCAAACATCTCATGCAATTTGTGTTTAGATCATAAAATAAATTTAATGTTAGTCTAGCTCCTAGGCACTTAGATTGGCTTTGTAAATTATCGGCTGACTCACACTCACTAAAGTCATCCATTTTATGCCAGAGGCTCTATTAGCAGCACAGGACCACAGTGCACTGGTAAACAAAAGAATCCATGGAGAGTGCGCTAGGTGTTGCAGATCTCCTGAATCTTCCAAATGTTTGTATCTGTTTCTTTTCCTTAACAATAACCTATGTATATCAAAATGAGTCACTTAATCTCTTCGGTAAACCAAAGTTGAAGGGATTAAAAAAATTATTGTTGGTTTTACATGGAGAACTACTAGGAAATTTTCCCTAAATTGTAAGTGAAACATAGAAATGTAGGCAAAGTACAGAAAGATTCCAAACTGACCAAATGGAAGTTTAACTGCATGGTAAAGATAAGTCTTCAGAGAGGGGGAAATCATGTACTACAGAGAGCATGTCAATGACAATCTTCGATACAAAACTATATACATACATACACACATATGTATGTATACATATATAATCCATTCATTATATATGTATATATTATACACAGCACATAGTTTATACACTATACACACATACATACATATACGTATATTTATGTTTTTAGGAGAATAGTTTTATTTTTTTCTAAATCTCTTTTTTTAAAAAAAAGATTTTATTTATTTATTTGACAGAGAGAGAGAGTGAGAAAGGGAACACAAGCAGGAGGAGTGGGAGAGGGAGAAGCAGGCTTCCCACTGAACAGGGAGCCCAATGTGGTGCTCGATCCCAGGACTCTGGGATCATGACCTGAGCCGAAGGTAGATGCTTAATGACTGAGCCACCCAGGCGCCCTTATTTTTTCCTAAATCTCTTGACCATATATTCTTCCCAAGGGATAGGCTATAGATAATTCTGAAAAAATAATATAGAACAATAATTTTGGGAAAGTCTGGGACTCTCTTCTCCTAGTAGGAAAGATGTTCACAAAAACATATTTACTGATGATCTAAATTTTGCTGTAAGAATTCAGAGTCATAAAAAAATTTCTATCTCTGGGGAAAATACTATCTCCACACAACTTATCCTTTTGACTGTATATTCAGTTTTAGGCACAATTAGTTGCCCCAATGACCAACACTTTATAGAAGACAAAAAAAGACTATTAAGGGAAAAATATAGGAGACTGTATATTCAAGGGCAGGGAAATAGTTAATTGTCTCTCAAATTAAGATTCTTAGACCACCTGCATCAGTATCATCTGGCAAGGGGGTTAAAATTCAGATTCTTGGGCCCAATCCAAGAATTAATCAGAATCTCTGGGGAAAGGGTTCAGGAATCTGCATTTTAAACACATATTCCATGCAATTCTGGTGTACACTAAATTTGAGTGACTGCTACATTTCTGCAACATTTAGGAACCAAAGCATACCTCTCCTTGTATTTGAGGGTGGAACTATGAAACCAAGATTTGTAAGGGTCTTACTCTGCTGTCAGCCTGGAGCTGAAGGTAGAAGAGGCAGGGCTGAAAGCAAAGGCAAAACAATATTTTTTTTTCAAGATTTTTTTATTTTAGAGCAAGAGAGTGAGAGCACAGGGTGGGGGTGGGGAGGCAGAGGGAGAGAGAGAATCTCAAGCAGACTCCCCACTGAGCATAGCGCCCCAAGACCCAGGGCTTGATCCCACGACCCAGAGATCTTGACCTGAGCCGAAATCAAGTCTGACTTAAGCCACCCTAAGCCCCAAAGCAAAATAATTTTTTTTTTAAGATTTTATTTGTCAGGGAGAAAGAGAACACAAGCAGAGGGAGCAAGGCAGAGCAGGCAGAGGGAGAAGTAGGCTCCCTGCTGAGCAAGGAGCCCAATGCGGGACTCAATCCCAGGACCCTGGGATCATGACCTGAGCCAAAGGCAGCCACTTAACCAACTGAGTCACCCAGGCATCCCCAAAACAATATTTTAAAGAGATAAAAGAATTTACCTTACAATAAAGACTCCAAAACCAGATGTAAGAATGTATGGATTTCATTGTACTGAAGGGAATATGCAAATCTTACTAAAAAGAATGCTACAGATATTAAGAGACATAAGTACTATAATTTTCATGTTTTCAAATGGGCATATGAATGTATAATCATGTCTGACATTTTAGATTTCAATTCAAACAAAAGTGGGTAAGAAACAAAAACTAAACAAAACACCCTTATGACAAAGTGCTCTGCATCTCTTGAAAATAAATTCCTTGTTATTTTTCCCAGGGTGACTATTACAATGATAATTCATTTTTTTAATAAAAAGGTGAGACGTAGTTTTTCCCATAATACTCCACCAAGTTCCTTTTTCTCCTCTTGCAATTTCCAAACAACACTGAGAAATCATCCATACACTCAATTCAGTGGGGACAGATAGATAGCATGCTGATATCTAATAGCATTGTAGATATCCAGAATATCCTATAAATCATGAATGAGTACAAATTCATTTCCACAAGATTCAAATAGCTAATTCCCCATCTGAATCAGAAATCATTGTTTCTTGTTATTTTTATGGCAACCCAAGCATTTCCTTTAATTACATAAGGTATTTTATAGTGCTCATTTACTCACCGGGCATTAATCATGATAATGTCCACCTCTTACAAAATAAAATCCCAAACCAAAACAACAGTGATAACTACCACCAAAACCAAACCAAACAAAACCCAACACATACACTTTCTCCAATACCAAACATTCATTATTAACTACTGCCCATAATGCTCAATATTTAATGCTTATTTCAAAACAATTTTAAAAGAACCACAGCTTTCCTTCCAAATATATCTAAACAGGATAGATAATCAGAAGCACATTCAAAGTGTCAGTATACCCCTCTCCTATGACAACTTGTCCATCTTCCCCATCTAGTTTCAACATAAAACCTAGAATAATAGGAACATCAATAAAGCTGCTGAGGAAACAGGCACTTGAAGAATTTTTCACAAAACCAATTATTCCCCAAATAAAGTTTATTTTGAAAATACAACATAGTCATATAAATTTAAATAGGACACATCTATAGCAATATTAATGAGTCAAATTATATTACAAGTGAGGTCGCCGTTCATGTCTGATTATTCCCATGAATGAAAAGATGTAAAGTTGCAGCTAAACCAAAGGCAGATACTTAAAAACAATCATAACTTATTTATTTACTTTCATTTCATCCTTGCGTCTAAATATTTAGATGGGCATTGATATAAATTCACATGAGATAAAGAAATATGCTGCCCGAATAATCAAAATTCTTTTGACTTTTCCTGCTCAGAGAGAGCATCGCAGTAATGTCTATACAAGGTAACACCACATGACAAGCTCATTCCTTCCCAATGAACACAGCATAAGGCTTTCAGCATTGTGGTTCCTGACTCCTCCAGGTTGAGGAAAATAGCAGTGACAATTTAAGAGTTTTCTACATATAGCTGACTTCATCAGAAAAAGGTGTTACATATGTTCTTCCCAAGACCTTTATGTTTTAGTGAGGAAAATGCAATATACAACTAGTGAAAATAGCCTGTATATGATATAATAATTATTTGTAATTCTCTAAACACACACACACACAAAAACCTAGAGGTAAACAAGAATGAAAGAACTAAGACACACACCTGGATCCTCTCACAGTACAGGGTTTTTGAGGCAATTCAGTGCTAACCCCAACAATGAAACCAGAGCCATTTCTAGATCGGGGGAGCATTCAAACGCACCCAAAATAGCCAGTAAACCATCTTCAAAGGATAAGGACCCAAAGACAAAAAACAGCATTGACTGGTAGAACACAACTGAAGAGAGAATTAAGCCCAATGAAGTCAAAGGAGGGCAATATAAGATACTGAACTTGGGGACTGTAATCTTGTTGCACACATTAGCTGTTGACCTCGGGCAAAACAATCTCTTTGAAGAATAATTTCCTCATCTATAAAACAGGTACACTAAGATCCACCAGCTTTGTTCATAGGCTTCAGAACAATGAAAATCAAAGACAACAATGCACTTGAGATCACTCTGTAAACGATAAAGAACTATTCTTAATAAATGGAGATTTGGGGGCTTTTTCAAAGTAATAAGGATAAAAGCCAATTTCAGGTAAAATTATAAAATCATCCATTTTTTTAACCCAGAACAGATTTCTATGTAATAGTAGCTGCTGTGGTCTGTCATATTTTGACAAGCAGAAATGGGAAATTTTTGATTGGCTTAATAAATTTCGCTCATGATACAATGTTATTGTAGTATAATACACTAGTTATAGATTTTGTTCATTAATAAACCAGGAAGGGTCATTGGCTAGACTTAAAAAGTAAGCACTGACTCAAAAACTAATGATGTATGGTGATTAACATAATAAAAAAAAAAGAAAAATATTATGGAGATTCAAAAAAAAAAAAGTAAGCACTGACTAAATACACTCTCTTCCTCACTTACAAAATTTTGACACCTTATTACAAAGAACCAGACACATAAATAATTTGTCCTATTAATCATTATAGATTATTAGTCACTAGGAACAGAACCTTATACACCTTAAGTCCTGGGCAGAAGGTTTCAATGTATACATACTTATAAGTCATTAACTTTGTTACTCACTTCAGCATTGCACATCTCCTCAGTAGAGCAGTAACTGTTAACAAGGCCAATTCAACAACCATTTCCTCTTTGCTTAAACAGACTCAAAGGCAGTTACAGACACACTGTCTCATTATAACATGAAATTAGTAAGCCTTGGGCTATTGCACAAATGTCAGTATCTAACTTGGAGAAAATAGAGGGAAGTAGAAAGAGAGGGAACTGATTTGTGTATAACCTGGTCTTATTTGGACATGCTCCCAGCTGCAATATTTTAAAGTTACAAGTAAACAAGTAAAACAGAAGGCTTCATATGTGAAAGTAGAAAATAGTCCAGAAGTCTTCTATTCAAAGACAAATTATTAATTTTTTCTTCCCAATAACTCACCAGAAAGAAATAGGCATTTAGGAATCCTAAGGGCTTCTTCAAATAATATTCAGAAAAATATATAAAAATAAAAAACAGAACAAGAACAGCACATTATTTAAAGTAAGACTTTTTAAAAAAATGGTTGCCCTGTCTTTAAGGATGCATGCCATATAAAATGGGAACATGTATCTCTATAACTCATCATGTTTATATGTAAATTCTCTGGCAGATATAAATCCATCTTTGTCTTCATCTTCTTTATCAAAAATATCCTCCACCAAAACATCATGATGACTTTCATTCACCACTGCACCATGCTTTTCAAACTCCTTCTTTAAATACACTTTAACCTACAAAATAATGGGTCTCATTAATAATTCTAATAATTCACATCAAGCCAGTTAATATCACAGAGTAGACTGGTAGTTCATTTGATTATATAGCACAATGACTAAACAACTACAATACATTTCTAATGACAGTAAAAGAATTGTAAGGAATTTTTTCCCCTTAAAAACAGTTGTTCTACTGCTACAGTAGAGACACAGAATATTGCTCAGAGGCAAAGATAAGGCTTATATTATCTGAAAAACACCCAATGAAAGCATATTATCTATTCTTAATTTGAGTCTAAAAAAAGCCAAGCATTTGAAAAACCGTAGTCTTTCACTCCATTGAATTATCCAGATCTCATTTTCTAACTAGGGTCAGAATTCCAGATAGTTCTCTTAAAATAAGATTAAAGGATGGCATTTTTTAAACTTGTATTTTAGAATTTTTTTAATTTTATTATTTAAAAAAAATCCAGTATAACATACAGTGTTACATTAGTTTCAGATGTACCATATAGTGAGTGATTCAATAATTCTATACATTACTCACGGCTCATCATGGTAAATGTACTCTTAATCCCCTTCACTTATTTCATCCATCCTCCACCTGCCTCCCCCCTCTCCTAACGGCATTTTTTAATTTAAGTAAGTGTCTGGTAATAGTACATGCCATGGACCTGACTATGATCATGCCTTATGACCTTCCAATCTCAGAAATTAAAGCAAAATCCAGCCTAGTGAGTGCTTAGACTGAAATTTTCCACTCTCGTTCAGACATTTAAAGATATAAACAAAATACTGCTCTTAATTACGCACTAGATTCACCATAATGCAGTTCAACCTGTATTTTCATTTTTAATTAGATCTCTAGTACTCCTTCTGTTAGATCAGTAATTTCAAATCCTTCCCCCCTTACGACCAATATGCAAACATATGACATACATTTACTTTTAAGATTCAGGAGATTTAATGAAGTTGTAAAAAAAAAAAAAGGATGATTAAAGCTAAATGGATTAATATAGAATGTATCTCTAGGATATACTGTGTGAATAAAGCAAGATGCCAAATATTATGTATATCATGCTACTTTTTGTGTAAGAAAAGGGGAAATAGGAAAATGTATTCATGTTTGTTTGTATTTGCATAAAGAAACACTGGAAGGATACATTAGAACCCAATAAAACAGCACGCAGAAGGGGGTAGATCACACAGTAGAAGAGGATGTGGGTGGGAAAAAGACTTATTAAACACCTTTTTTAATTGGATTGATTTTTTTTGAACCATGTGAATGTGTTGTATATTTAAGATTTTTGTTTAATGAAAGGTAATTAAAATTTATCTTGGACAGAATAAAGTCCTATGACTGGTAATACTATCAGGTGTTATAAATTGAGTAACTGTAGATCATGACCCTGTGACTTCCTAACAACTGCACTTATTTAAGACTTAATCATTTCCTGGCCATTATAATGAAATCGATCAAAACAGAAAAAGGGACTTGATTTCTGCCCAGCCAAGGAGGACGGAGAACATGGACAAACAGAAAAACACAGAGTAGATGTCTACCTCCACTTCTTTCCCCACAGCAGCCAGACCAAGACAGGTATATGTAAAAATGGCTGCAAAAGCCTAAATAAATTATAGAGAAAAGACTTCTTGCTTTCTCCTTACTCAGACAACAGGACTAAGAGGGGGCTGGGAAAGTTCTCCTGCTCTGGAAAACCCAGCCTGGAGTCTCCTTTCTCCAGGTGTGAACCAGAACAAAACAGCATGTGAGTTGTTTGCTGCTAATTGCTAGGAAATTACAAGTGCACTTAACAGACAGTTTACAGTTTACAGTTTTAAACAGAAACCTGAGATATTTCTCAGGACATCTATGTTTCTTATACAGCAACTCCAAAATGGGAATTGTCTTAGCAAAATGGATCTTTCAAAAACTCAGGGTGAGGACAAGATACAGTGAACCTTAAGCATGGTGGGGGTGAGGGGGGCAGGGGCAAAGGAATGAATGATGTTTCTTAAGTCTCAATATATTTCTCACCAAAACAAGGATTTCCTATTGAAAAAAAAAAGCCAACATTCAAAGCATCAGTATTTTAAGAAAATTTATAAATAATGTTTTATCCAAGTAAAAATACATTTTCTTTAAAAATATATTTTTTAAAAAGTGAGAAGAAAGAAACAAAGAAAGAAAGGAATATGAGGAAGGAAAGATCACCTCAGCTTTAGAGAGTTTCCAGTCATCATTAAGATCCATTTCTTGGAATGATTCATGAGATCTTGGTCCATTTCGAATCTCCAGGAGATCAATGTTGAATATCAGTGTACTCTCTGGGGGAATTTTACCTGACATGAGGAGAGGGAGGTTAAATTTTATTTAAACAATCCCAGAGTTTTTATGACACAGAACATGTGAAACTGAATAAAATATTCTTTTGATTGAATTAAATGAAGAGCCTTCCTAACATTATCACATGTAAATTACTTATAATTATATTTTACTCAAACAAATAGAATAGAGAAGGAATAATCCAAACTAGCAGATCAAAAGCAGTCTGTTTCTGGCTTTGCAATTACAAATTGCTTTGTACACACAAACACACACATACATACAGATATACCTAATGGCCGGGTATTAAATTCCAAATATAAGTAAGATAGTACATATTACATGCCAAGAATGACTTAAAGGGATTTAGATAATTCAGAGCTAATTACAGTACAAGTGATTTACTAACTTTGGGGTCGCCAAAAGTCCTGACCTAGAAATACATATAGTACTGCCATCTCTACCACTGGGAGGCAGCATCTAGCTGAGTGAGATCTGGTGTCATACCAGCTTGCTAGCTGGTAGGAGAGCTTACTCCTACCCTTCTTTTAGCCTATTTCCTCATCTGTAAAATGCAGAATCTGTTGGGAGGATGAAGGAAGATAAATCCATGCAAAATATTTAGCATTATACTTGATAAATAGTGAGCTCTCAGTATATGTTAATAAATATAATTCTCTTACAGGCTTTAAAAACAATACAGAAAGCTTCAACAATTTCAGAAAGTTAGGCAACACCCCCTCTGACACAGAACATTATACCTATTTTGAAGAAATTTCATTACAGAAGAAATTAAAACAAATTTCTGAGAAGGGAGATAAAAATCTTTAAAAATGAAAAGAGCTTTGTTAAAGTCCCAGGGACCTGGGGCGCCTGGGTGGCTCAGTTGGTTAAGCGACTGCCTTCGGCTCAGGTCATGATCCTGGAGTCCCGGGATCGAGTCCCACATCGGGCTCCCTGCTCAGCAGGGAGTCTGCTTCTCCCTCTGACCCTCTTCCCTCTCGTGCTCTCTATCTCTCATTCTCTCTCTCTCTCAAATAAATAAATAAAATCTTTAAAAAAAAAAAAGTCCCAGGGACCTTAAAAAAAAAACTTTCTGGGAAGTATGAACAATTTTTTTTCAACTTGTTTTCTTATAACTATATTTAACATACAGGTCTAGGTAAACATTACAAATATTTCTCAGCCCCCCCCACCACCACCACCCCACACCCAAATCCCACATATTTCCATGAAAGAGCATTTGTTAAGTATTAAAGAGAAAAAACTTACACTGTGTGCCCAAGCTTACCGCTCCAGGTCTAGACAGAGAAGGGGCATGCACTAGGTCGTTGACAAAACTGGTTGTCTTTCCGAAGGAGGCATGCAAACATGATACCAAAGGACTACAAAATTAGTGTTTAATACATATTAGCAGAGTTAGTTTCATGGCTCTCAGTTTGGAGGAAATGACTCAAATTTAGATCTCTACTTGTTATAAAGTAAAACTGAGTTAAATACAGTAGGGAGAAAGAGTAATGGACTAATACTACATACACATTATGGTGAGACAATAAAGATAAAGCAGAAAGATAAAAGAATACATTTGAACATCAGAGAAACATTTTCTAGATACTTGATTTTCTTCTCTAAGGAGATTATTAAAATAAGAATTGAATTTGGTTAGTAAATTCCATTCTGTGCATAAGATTTATATAGCAAGTTCCATTTTAGAATATACAATGCTTCACAGATGGCACTTACTTTTTTCTCAGAAAACTGGGGCTAGGATTCTCACTTTGTAAATGGTTAAGCTTAGACCTAGGGATACTGTGAAGTCTGTATTTCTACAGAATCAGAGTGGTTCCCTGTCTGGTTCTGATGACTACTTAATAATTTTTTCAGGGCACCTGAGTGGCTCAGTCAACTAAGTGTCCCACTCTTGGTTTTGGCTCAGGTCATGATCCCCTGGGGCATGAGATTGACTCCTGGGGAGGGCTCTGCACTCAGCGGGGAGTCTGCTTGAGATTCTCTCCTTCTGCCCCTCCCCCCCTCACTCACCCATGTGTACTCTCTCTCTAAAATAAGTAACTCTTTAAAAAATAATAATTCTTTTCTTCATTATGTAATACATGCCCATTATAGAGAATTTGGAAGAGACAGAACCAGAAATAAAAGTAAATTCCCAGTAGGGGCGCCTGAGTGGCTCAGTTGGTTGAGCATCTACCTTCAGCTCAGATCATGATCCCAGGATTCTGGGATCGAGCCCCACATCAGGCTCCCTGCTTAGCGGGGACTCTGCTTCTCCTTCTCCCTCTGCTTCTCCCCTGCTTGTGCTCTTTCTCTCTCTGTCAAATAAATAAATAAAATCTTTAAAAGAAAAAACATATTTAAAAATAATTCCCAGCTGTCCGTTGTTATCATTCTTAATTATATCCTTGTGATTCACTCTGTATGTGCATATACTTTTTTCTAATACTTACTCTTATATATTCTACAGCTTTATTTTCCAATTTTACATATAACATTATGTCATACACACTTGGACATAATTTTTTAATCTTTGAAATGCCATTTTTAAATAACTGGGCCCTATTTTATTTAGCTAAAGCCTTCTCATTATCCACTGAAGTTTGTTCCAATTATTTTTGTTATTAGGAACAATGTAGTAATGGACATCCCTGTTCATAAATCTTTTGTTAAATTAGAGAATTATAGGACACATACATATCCTATACAGGAAACATCATCTGGCCTCTTGTAAATAGCCCTATGGAAAGCTACATGGCTTTCCACCCAAACAGCAGGTGTGCATGCCCGCCCTGCAACAAACTAGCACAAAGTCTCCTGGAAGCAGCTAGCCCATTTGCTTCTGTTTTATCAAACTCATTTCATGTCACTCCATTTATTTTTATAAATGAATGATAAAAAAAAGTTATAAAACAACTTTAAAACAAGAGTGGAAACAACCTCCAAAAAAAAAGCTTTGTTGTAGAAAACTTCAGTTGTGAGTCACCAGCAGCCCACATCTAACCCTCATTCAGTGCCTTAATCATCTGTATTTTACATGTTCAACTCATCAAAACACGTTTGTGGAATAATTTTCTTTTTGCATTGTTAAATTGATGAGTTTCAGCTGGGGAGGATGAAAAATTTCTGGACGTGGATAGTGGTGATCCTTGTACAACAATGTGAATGTTCACAGTGTCACTGAACTGTACACTTAAAAAATGGTTAAAATAGTAAACATTATGTTATGGGTATTGTGCCACAATTTAAAAAAAAACCAAACCATTATTTGGGTTAATATGGTGGTTAATTGTTAATGATAGAGTTGAAGGTTCCAGAACTTCTTATCATTAGCTCAGTTGACTATTAAGATATGATGGCTTTAATTTGACCATTTCAAATGATAATCAAGACACAATCATACTTCCAAAAAAAATACACATCCTCTACTTACTTTTAGGGAAAAAAAACACAGAGTAGTTACTCTGATTTCGGTCTCCTAATCCAGGGAAGAATTCCGACGCTACAGTAAAAATGTAGAGTTGTTATTACCTTTTCCTTCTTTTCCATAGCCCAGGGCGGGAGGAATGGTGAGCTTTCTCTTCTCTCCTACACACATTCCCTTCAAGCCCTGGTCCCAACCTTTGAGAGCCTCCAGGATGCCCAAGGTAAACCAAATGGGCTGACCATTGTTATGTTTGTGACTACAATAGAAAGAAAACACATTAGAACTGTTTAGAAACTCTATTTTTTTATTGCTGTGGTGTATTTTTTTTCCACCCATAAGTGATTCAGTTTGGAAATTAACAAAAACAGCTATATACATACACATAAAACCAAGTCAATTTTGTAATTCATTGCTCATATTTCTTGATGCAAACTTCACACAATTGACTCAGGTAGAGAAGAGCAGAGGGAGTAATAATAAAAACAGTTAATAGCTATTTGCGATTTATTGTGTACCAGGTATTCCCCTAAATGCTTTGCTTCTTTTAACTCTGACAATAATCATCTGAGGTAAGTACCGTTATTTCCCTATTGTACAGAGGAGGAAACTGAGGTTAAGTGTGCCAGTATTTGATCCAACTCCAAAGTTCAAGGTCTTAACCACACTGATGCTGTCCCAGGAAAATCTTAAGGGGGCAGAAGAGGGAAAAAATAATGGAAAATGTGAGAGTTTGGGAAGGAAGATGAGAAGCTAAGGAGAATTTACTGCCAAGACATGTGGGTCCATACCCACATGGACACTGGACAGTCAGGGACACAGCACCTTCTAGCCTACCCACAAACTGTCCTGATGTACAACCTGGTGATGGCTCTGATAGGTGGAAAAGGCTGTTCTTCAACCCTTAACCCCTAGATACTAGCCACAGGCATCTTCTGTGGAGCTCTGCAGGGAAGCCTGGAGGAGTGGCCCCTCAAGGACTGACGGAGAAGGAAATAGTCAAAGTATCCTGGCTCATGAGCTGGAGAGAGGCCAGCCTAAGAAACCTAGCTGGCGAGCTACTAGGGAACTCACAGGCTGAGTAGTGCCTGAGCCCCAAATAGCTCCCTTTCAGTGCAATAAGGGAAGTGTTCTCAAAGATATCTTATAGGTGAGAAAGAGAAATCACTCTGTTAGGTTTCATGGGCACCATTGTTACTAAATCCAAGTAAAGGCCATTATTTCTTCTTTTCCTTAATTTCCCCCATGACTAAAGAAACAAATTACCAACTGTAAAAGACTTGGGAAGGCTAGAAAAGAATAAAGAAAGAAGAAAACAATCTGACACCCAGCGCTGACTACAGTTTTGACACATTTCTTTCTTGTCACAGCTAAAGGATTTAAGCTCTTTACCACACAGGGTAGCGTTCTAGAAATGGCAAACATGCTTTACAGTGGGCCATTTGATGGTAATTCTTCACAATACTCAGGGTTAGCAGTTTCTAACCATTTACACTGAGGCCGCATGACAACAGTCCCCTCATCAGGTACCAGAACTTTAGTAGCCAACTGCCAAATAATGTCTTATGGCTACCACCAAAGTCCACATAGATTCTGAGACCTGAAAGAAATCAGGCTGTGTCAACATCGGACTAAAAATAAAGATGTGAGGGGTGCCTGGGTGGCTCGGTTGTTAAGTGTCTGCCTTCTGCTCAGGTCATAATCCCAGGATTCTGGGATAGAGCCCAGAAGGAAGCCTGCTTTTCTCCCTCTCCCACTCCCCCTGCTTGTTTCCCTCTCTCTCTGTCTCTCTCTGTCAAATAAATAAATAAAATCTTTAAAAAAAAAAAGATGTGGTTGAAAATTTAAAACGCAAATCTTAATACCGTTTAACGTTCACTGTGGCACTGGCCTTGTTGATAAGGACATAGAGCTGTTGAGAATTCTATGGCAAGCCACTGTTTTTGGAAAGTTTTGGAAGGGCTAACAGAGTTCAGAGAAGGGTGCCATTCACTTCTCCAAAGACATACCAGGACTGAATGCTCAATGAAGGCAGGTCATCAAAAACCAGATCTAGGAGGGTCCACAAAGTTTCACTACTTTAGTTCATCCCATTCCCTCTACCTGGAATGTCGTCTCTGCCCCCATTCTCGACCAGAAGGAACCCTCCACCCATCTTTCAAGGCCCATCTCAATTATGATTTCTGGGAAGTCTTCTCTTTCTCCACCTCTCAGAGATAAATAATTCCAGACTCCATTATGCTTTGTGAACATTTGAACATTCTGTACTATATAGCATGAGTTATTGACTTATCTTCTTCCTCTGTAGATGATGGACTGCTGGAGGACAAGAATCCACTCTTAATCACTTTTGCATCCTCAAGGCCTGACTTATGGCCACTCAACAAGGGTTTGTTAGATGGACAGATAAATGAATGGACAAGGATGGAAAAGCCACAATTTTTCAATCTCCCTGGTATCAAGCCCAGGGCCTAACATAAAAGAAATGCTCAATAAATACTTTTGGAATGGAATGAAGAGAATCAATGCCTAATTAGAAATCAGTACACTTGGTAGAACTTTTCCATGTTGCAATTTCTTTGTTTATAGAACAGAAAAAAATGATAGTGTAACCACCTGAAAATCCTTCACTGTAGGTATTGGATTAATCTTCCATAACCACACCCACACCCATCAATGAAGTCTTTGAATTTCTAGAAAGAAACAAATAATGAAACAAATCATGGTACTGTGCCTTGACCAAAATGTCATCTGTAAGAACAATGATTAAAAAGATCAATGGACTAGCATTAGCATACCCTACAACAAGCAAATAAATGATTGTGTATTCTTCTCATGAAGTTGCTGTGAAAAGTTTTAAGTAAATTTCACGTACACCAAATAAAAAATGGAATCAGGTCATTTCCCTTGGGAATGGAGTTTGAAAAATGAGAATTCCTTTAAGTTTTTTTTCTACGTATTGCCTAACTATGCATCTAGATATTTCTGGAGTATTTCAAAGATTCTAGCGCTAATTTTTATAATAAAAATTAACCCTTTATCCTTACCACATGTTTCCAATAAGAACTTCAAAGGCCCCGTTATATAAGATTGTCGTTAAACGATTTCCTTTCCCAAAGAAGGAAATAATATATTGCAGTTTTTTAAAAGAGAGGTAAACCCTGGTACAGGCTACCTTTCCTGCCCGAGAGCGGGCATAGGTGGGTGGGTTCTTCACTATTTTACCTTCAAGGTATAATTACTTACGTAGAGTGAAATAAGGAGCCATCCTTTTCTAAGTAGCCTTCATAATGGACCAACATCAAATCCCCCCCTTTGGTCTTGCGATGGCAGATGAAAGGCTTCTGAAGCACCTCAATCTTCACTTCTGGTTCAGGGATCAGAGCCCCACTCAAAGAAGTGACCAACAGCGTCAGCACTGCGTTGCACAAGAAAAGCCTCATGTTGCTGGAGCAGGAAAGAAGTTCCTACAAAAACAAAGAAAGGGCCCCCGACCTCATAGAGCTAAGAATGTAGTTGAAGCCTTAAGGACAAACACCTCTGGCACGTTCATAATTCTCTGTTCCTAGCAGACGTGGCACATTTACTACGACAACTTTCCCACGCACTGCGAACCCACGTATAAAGAGTTAAACTCCAAACCCGGGTCTGACTGGCTCTCACAGCTCGGCCGCCGGAGAAGGATGGCTTCCCATTGGCTTGCGGTGCTGTCCGCTGGAGCCTCTCAAACCAATGATGCTGCAATAATTACAGCCAGGGGGAGCCGGGCACCAATCCGGCTGCGAACCGCAGGGAGTGGTCCTAGAGTTCGGCGGATTAAAGTATTCCACAACCTCGGACTTCTGGGGACAGAGTGACGTGAGGACCTAACCGGAAACGCCTCCGGCAGATTTACATCTGTAAAATATGCAGGCTTAGTTTGCGCGGAAGAGTCCTGGGCCAGGTGAAAGGGTAGCGGTTTCCGGAAACACTCGTTTACTCTGGCGGATGCTGAGAGGCCGCCCCCAGGATTCCACAGTCCTGCTACTGCGATTATTTAATTTACGGTATAAACGATAAAGACTTCAATAGTTCTGTAGGGTTGGCAAAGCGCGTTCCGTTCCCGTGCGTAAACCCCACAACACAGCCAGTAAAGCAGGGTCTTTAATCCCAGTTAAATGATAAGTGTATCTGGGCTAGGGGAGGTTAAGTGTCCTGCTTAAAGTTGCTCAGCCTCAAAGCAGTTGAGCTCCGCCTTCAAACCAGGTCTTTGATTCATTCTACAACACCGCATAATGTTATGGCTGCTAATAATTTATCACTTAGGTGGTGACCGTAGTGATAGCTTCTATCGTGAAAAAGGACGTACAGACCTCCACTTTAAAAAAGAAACAGTAATCACGCTTATAAGGTACATGAACTGGTTCATCTTAGCTTAAAATTATTAGCTTTACCTTTTTTGCCTACTTTCAAAAGCAAAACATATTCATTATAGTCGATTTGGAAGAAACTGGAAAGCACGAAAGTAGGTTTTCCGGTTAAAATACAGGAGTCGAACTAAATACGAATTTCAGACAAACAACGAGTTCATCGTTCTGTGTTTTATTTGCTAAATCTGGCCATCTTATGCTAAAGAAAAAGAGAGAAAAAAGATCGTCTATAGCGCCACCATCTACAAATAATCACCTTAACATTTTTGGTGCATGCTTCTGTGACATACGACTAAAATAATCTGGACCAGATTGTACACTTGGTTTCGTAACCTGCTCTTTCCACTTAATCTGTTGTTAACATTTTCCCCGGTCAAATATCCTTAGCACAGTACCTTCTCCCACTTTAATATGCTTAGGAATCCCCCGGAGAATCTTGTTAAAATACAGATTTCGACTCAGGAAGCCTGGGCTTGGGGAGACATCCTGCAATTTCGACAAGCTCCTAGGTGATGCCAATGCTGCTGTCCATGGATTACACTTCCAGTAGCGAGGCCTGAGGGTTTAGACATGTTTACTAGCCGCACAGTATCCTATCGTGAAATTCCTATCAACTCCGTAGGCTCTATTGCTGGCTACCTCGATTTTGTGGGATCAATTAGCCTTGAAATAAGAATTGGACCCTGGGAACTAGAACGCAGGAGGCACCCCCAAACATCGAGAGGTGGGTTCTTCCCAATCTACTGCACCATTAACAGTCAGGACTGTATCCCACACTGGTCCCCAAGGAGCTCCCTCCTTCCCGCAGACCCGACGCCTACACCCAAGCCCGCCTCCCAGGACTCAATTTCCCTGCCAGCCCCTCCCGCTGCGTCAGCCCCGTCGCCGCCGCCAACGCCGCGGTTGCTGCCAAACCCCGGAGTAGATTTCGGGAACGTACGCGCGGACGGTGCATTGGGCATGCGCAAGGGGGCCCCGGGCCCGGCGGGCTGAGGACTCAGGTTGCTAGCTGTTGCGCCGCCAGCTCCCCTCGCCAGCGGCAACTTGGAGGTTGCAGCCACCATTCGGGCCCACCGGGTGCCTTGGCCTCCTTGTGAACAGTGCACCGGCTCCACAGCGCGGGCCCCTAGGCCGGCCGCGTCCTCACGTGCCGAGGCAGCCGCAGTGACCCCGCCCCCGGGCCGAGGATGTGAGACTGGCCGGGCGTCCCCGCACCGGGCCCGGGCGCCGGGAGTCGGCGGCTCGGCAGCGCTGGGCGATGGCCCTGCTGCCGGTGCTCCTCGCCTCCTGGGGCTTGGGGCAGTGAGGGGCCGGCGGACGAGGGGAAAGGGCCCCGGCGCGGCGGGGACCAAAGGACCTCGGGCGCCATGGAGGGGGTTCTGTACAAGTGGACCAACTATCTGAGCGGTGAGTGGGGGGCGCGCCAGACGCCGGGTCCTTTGTTTGAGCGGCCGGAGGGCGGCGTCGGGACGCGAGCCCTTCGGGTCGGGGTTATGGTCCCTCCTGAAGCCAGAGAGGCCTGCATGGGCCGGGAATATTTCCCCAAAGCTATTCTCACAGGACCGTGTCACCCATGCTGTACGGACACAGCCCCTTGTTGGTGCTGGGTGAGGGCCGTAGCTGCCCTTTCACTTCAAGGGAAGCTATGAAATAGTGAGCTTTGCGGTGACTTGAAAGGCAGGATGCCTTCGGTGTCAGAGGGAGGGGGGCGCTGACTCTCGCAGTGGGGTCTTCTGGGAGTCTATCGAATTCTGGCGAAGGAACCGGTCTCGCCTGGCCCTCAGATAGGTTGGAGGGTTTCAAATGAATGCCAAAGGTGAGCTGGAATTCCAGAGGCGAAACGTCCTTTTTCAAACAAAGTCCCCAGTGCAAACACTTTCTTTTTGTCACCTTCGGAGTCATCTGTGCGGACCAAGGTATCAGAGTTCCATCTCAACAGTTTCAAAGATCCAAAGTATGTACACAGTATTTGCTTTTCTCACTGAGCATTCTTTTTGTTTTACAGACTCAGAAATTACCATAAGATGAAACCGTAGCAACTGTTTCGTTGCACTTCTGAGCAGAATGGCTCAAAAATAGTACCCCGCCCCCTTTCCAATGTGTGGAAGTACTTTATTTCATATCTTGGAAGGTCATAACTATTCTCCAGCTGTGAATATGATTCAGAAGGAGCATTTTTTTTCATTTGTGCAACTAGTGTTTAGTAAAAGCCTCCTGCTTGTTAGAAACTTGTGTTGGGCACCTTTTGGGAACTAAGCTTTATTATGGAAAATGAGCTGGACACTTTTAATTTTAATAGCAGTGTATTTGAAACCAGAAATATTCCCAGTATCTCTTATAGTGGCAGAGATATATTGTCCCATCCTTTCTTTGACAGAACAGTTTTTTAAATGTTGTGGTGATGCTCTGGAGTGGTTTAAGGACTGATGTATCTGGGAGCATCAGTTGGCATAATGACTTTGATGAGGTTACATAGCACAGCCAAAAGTGCACCTGTTGGGTGTACCCAGAATCTCTTCCTTATGCAAACTGTGGTTAGAAGTGAGTTTATGTATTTTTCTTATAATCATTAGTAGAGACTGAGAAGTGTTTTAGAAGATCTGGCCTTTGCTTTTGAGGATTAAATTGGATGTGGATAACTTGTGTCTGGGCTTTGCTGAATGTCTGATGCTGGTTAACACTCTACTAAGCTAAAGGGAACATGCTTGATTGGGTAATTTTTCCTTTGAGGTATCTCTAAGCCCTGAGATGTATGGACCTTATGCCCTAGAGTAAAATTTAGTTCCTGGTCTTTCATCCCATTCCATCACACATGCTATTTAACTTTTTTTCTTTCAACCTGAACACTCATCGTTCTTTTCTTCTACCAACCCCCCCCCCTTTATTTTTTTTTATTTTTTTTTTTTTGCTTCACCTTTCTTATGCTCTTTCTCCTTTATATAGAAAGGTTAGTCTCTGGGTACAGTACCTGCTTCCTGTTGTGAAATGCCTTTTTTCCACTGTTTTTATGTATCCTTCAATAAAATAAAATTTCTCTAGAAGGATCTTTTGGAATTTTATCTTGTGATGTCTGTACCATCTGTCCTGTTGGAAAAGTCTCTCTTTTTTTTTCTGCCCCAAGTAAGAGAAGTCAATTCTGTGAGGGTGCCAGGGTGGAAGCCCTAAAAAAAGGCGGCTGGAGCCATTGCCAGAGCCAGCTGTCCTTATATCCTGCTGCTTGTTCCCTTGACCCACATGCCTCCTCATTGTGGGCACACTGTTCGTAGAAGCCCATCACACCGCTGGGTACTTTTCCTGGATATACTTCCAGTTATGTTTCAGCACGTTGTCTTTCATTAGGAGATAAATTTACTTCAGAAAGGAGCAGTATAGCCTAGGAGGAACAAATGCATTCTTGTTTCTTTCACCCTCCTATGTGAGTTAGTCTCCCAAAACAGCATAGCGTGACTGTTAATGACAAGCTTTGATGAAAACATTGTTACTTCTTTTTTTCTGAAGCTTGTTTTTTTTTTTTTGGTTGGTTTTTTAAAGATATTATTCATTCATTTGATAGAGAGAGCACAAGCAGGGAGAGCAGGAGAGAGAGAAGCAGGCTCCCCCACTGAGCAGGGAGCCCAACACAACAGGGGGCAACATGGGGCTCGATCCCAGGACCCTGGGATCATGACCTGAGCCACCCAGGCGCCCCATGAAGCTTGTTTTTAAAAGTAATATTTTTTCTTAGGGTTTTGTATGTCATAATTTTAAAATATATATAATTCCAGCCCCAGTTTGTGTTCATCTGAATTTTTCTCTAAATCATACCTGTTTGTGTAATTTTGTCATGCCCACAGCTTGATATGGGAAGCCTTTTGTCAAATTTGAGTGGAGAAATTAGGAAATCAGTTTATTAGCTGATCCTTTGACTACTTGGAGGATATTGTTAATTTCACTTACCATCTACTGTGTCCTGGACACTATGTTAGCCACAGGGCAAGCAACATTGAGTAAGATAGACACAGTCCCAGCCTTCCTTGAGCTTATAGTCCAGTGGGGGAGAAGACATTCGTTGAATAAGTACTTAGAAACATGTTCCAAGTGTGTGTGATTTGGGGGAAGGTGAAGGAGAGAAGCTAGTTTGGGTCACTGGGGACTGCTTCTCTGAAGAAAAGATTTAAGCAGAGCCTAAAGGATAAATAGAAGTGAGTGAGGCCAAGGCAGAGCTGCAACTGGAGGTTGCAACGAAGAATTTTTAGCTACAGGGAATGTCAGTATGAAGGCCCCAAGGCAGGATAGAGACAGGTGAGTGAGGAAAGGAAAGAAGACCCACATGGCTGCAGAGTGTAGAGTGAGGCTAAGCCTCCAACAAGGCTGCAGGGGTGGGTAGGAAGCTTGATAGGCCCCTGCAGGGCTTCTTACGCTGTTAGAAACACCATGGAGTGGTTGGAGTGTGTGAAGGAGAGAGAAATGATGAGATTGTTCAAAAGCTTACTTTGATTGCATTTATTGTATTTTGCTAAATACTGTATTTATTTTGTGAGTTTCTCTTGCTTCTTGAATTAAACTGGTAGGTATCAATTACTGAAAGTTGGAAGCATCATCAAACCCCGAGACTAGCATCTTAATTGCTTGCATGAGTGTAGTGCTAAAATACAGAAATAGAAGCAGTCCCTTTTCCTAATACACTAGGTATTATACTCAGGTACCCTGTGCTCCTTAAAAGGAAAATGAAAAAAAAAAAAAAAAAGGAAGCGAGAGAGAAAGCAAGAGCTTATGTGTATTTTATTCAACAGCCCTGAGCCATCCCACTTTATAAGCATCAGAACATTGGACATTCTGGGATTTAGTGTCAAGCCCTCTCTTCAAATATTAGATTACACCTGGAATGAAAGGGAAATGGATCAGATATTTCACAAATACCTGTATTGTGTGAGACCCAGAGCTAGGCATTATATGTTTGTTATTTGTATCTTTCAAGCCCGAAAAGTTGGTCAGGGAATACTATACATGCTTGGTTGTAAATTAATGCTCTACAGTAGAACCCTAGTTGAGGAGTCAGTTGATAGCAGCTCTATCACTGCCAGCTTCAGAGTCACTTTACCATTCTGAACTTAGCATCTTCCTCCATAAAAATGATGAGATTTACCAGTTAATAATTATGAAAGTAGTAACTCAGTAATGTTCCAGGCACTATTCTAAATATTTTACATGGATTATCTCATTTAATCTTCACGGCAATTTTAAGAAGCAGTTGCCTTTATTATCCCATTTTCCAGATGAAGATATTGAGACACAGAAAGATGAAGGAACTGGCCCAAGGTCACACAGTTAGTAAGTGGCTTCAGAGTCATTGCTCCATTACATAATACTTTGAAAGGTCCTTCCTGCTTGATCATTATATAATTCTAGCTGATTCATCATGTACCTATATTTAAAGTATGTTGACCTAGAATAGCAGACTCTATTTGGGGGTAGGAGGAAGGGAGGAGTTCAGGAGTGAGGAAGACTTTGCTCAGCTTTGTGCATGTGTTTTGTCACAAGGAAATTTTCTGAGCTGTGCTGTGAGCTTTCTGCTTTGCAGTTTTAGGTCCCTTTCCTGCTCACTCAGCAAACAGGAGGACTGCTGCCCTGAGCTCTATCCAGCTGCAGGCTTCATGGGCCCAACCAGCAGGTTAGGGCACAAGCACATTGCAGTATGCATTCCAGAAATAACAGAAGCTTGCATAATACTGACCAGATGGTTGAGGAGGTGCTATAATTTTGCTTACTATGCCCCCCAGCCCAGGTGGAGGAAGGTGACTCTTGCCCATATATGTTTGTGCTGTAGAAACGGTGCCAAGAGGACATCTAGAATGTGAGTGATCCAGAGCAAGATTCTCATGGTCTTATAACCACTGGCCAACCTTTTTTTGTTGTTGTTTTAACATTTTTATTGAGATAATGATTCACTTATCGTAAATTTCACCATTTAAAGTATACTAGTTAATAGTTTTTAGTGTATTTACAGAGTGTAACCATAGCCACAATTTTAAAACATTTGCATTATCCCCAAAAGAAACCCAGTTAGCAATCATTCCCACCCCACCCCCTCTTGCCTTTGACAACCACTAATCTTATGTCTGTGTAAACTTGTCTATTCTAGATATTTCATATAAAGTGAATCATACATAATGTGGTCTTTTGTGACTGACTTCTTTTACCTAGTTTTACCTAGTATAATGTTTTTTGGGTTCATGAATGTATAACATGCATCAGTACTTCATTTCTTTTTATTACAAATAATACTCAAGTGTACGGATATACCATACCATATTTTGTTTATCCATTCATCAATTGGAAATTTGAGTTGCTCTATTTGTTTTGGTTATTATGAGTAAAGGTGCTGTGAATATTTGTGTCAAGTTTTTGTGTGTACATGTTTTCATTTC